ACTGGGGCTCATACATGTACTTGGCCATCCCCAGCATGGTCATGACGTGTGTTGAGTGGTGGTCGTATGAGATTGGAAGCCTTTTGGCAGGTAATGCTACAGGCCACTTTGTGGTTTAAAGCATTTGTGTGAACTAAAGTTAGTAAGAAATCTAACGGCTGTTTGTCATTAACAGGTCTAATAAGTGAGGTGGAGCTTGGGGCTCAATCAATTGTGTACCAACTGGCAAATATTGCATATATGGTAATCTGTCCTCTAAAAATGACTGAATCTGCATAAACGGTTATGGTGTCAAATGAATGACCAATTTCTACACGCAGTGTCACAGCATTTTAACGTAGTATTTTTGTTATTAGTTCCCTTTGGGTTTCAGTATAGCTGGCAATGTAAGAGTTGGACAAGCGCTGGGAGGCGGAGACACAGAGCAGGCTAAGCTGTCTGCTAAACTGACAATATTCTGTGCAGGTCAGTATGCTCTTCAAAACTATTAATGTGGTTTATAATATCTTATACAAATGTATTTTAAGTCAAGATAATTCTAGAATAATTTATATTTCGAACTGTTATTTCACTAAAGAAATACTACAAGGTTGTCTTTGACCTGGAATAGCATGCCTTGAGCCAAAACGTTTTCAAATGGCTAGCAGAGCTAATTATTGTCACAAGATTCTCAGTATATTTACAGAAAATAAACTTTCTTTAAAATAATGAAACCTGTGGAAAATAAGGTCTGTTACTCTTTAACACAGGGTCCATGTCTATATGTTGGTCAATTCTCCTTGGCAGCCTGAAGGGCCAGATGTCATATGTCTTTTCAGATGATGAGTGAGTAAAAAAAAAAAAACCCTTTGCAACCACAACCATATTCTTTACTTTTGTTTAAAAAATAACACAGGGGCTGTTGTGTTAACAAACACAGAGTAAACTTTTGTCTGAGGGAGATAATCGGTCTCCTAAATGACCTTTCACTATTACAGTGAACTTTGCCTAGATATTCCTTTAAATATTAACTTGAAGTAAATGTTTTGCTCATTATCATTGTGACTGTGACACCACAACTGAATTGAAAGGTTTAAAATAGTTCTTTTTATGTTATCGTACTTTAAATTGTACTTTGCTTGAGTATTTGCATGTAATGCTCCTTATGCTTTTAATCTACTACATTTCAGAGGCAAATATTGTACTTTTTACACTACATTACTAGATGTATTAAACTCTCCTAGCTACTTTGCACAAATGAAAACACATGATACATGTGTATTTTTAATTTTTAAAAAAGGTGTCTAAAATTGGCTCCACTTTGCCAAACTACATTATTAATATGATTTGACATTTATAAGAATAATATTATTCTACAACACTGTAAAAGAGAGCCATTCTGTGTACTGAATACTTTTACCTTTAAAACACAAAGTACATTTTAATACTTGTACTTCCATACTTAATTTCAGGATTTTTACTTGAGTATTTTAAGACGACAGTAAGTAAAGGAACTGAGAACTATTTCCACCACTGCATATTAACTATGTCTCTTTACAGAGAACATTTTTGGATATCTCTTATGAAAGCCAGTTTAAAAAAATCATTATTCACCATCTTTAAGAATAAAATGTTAAATCAGGCTATTCATTATATATGTAGAAACCCCTCTTTAAAAATCTTCAGAATATAAGTACAAATGAAGCTGGAAAGCTTGTTGTATGTACAGCTACTGAAGTAGAGATTTATGGCTCAGATTCTAGAAAAAAAACATTTTGAGGAAACTGATTTTAAGGAAATGTTATACATTTGGCAAAATACTACATTAGAATAAGGGTTCAAATTGTATCTAAAATATATTCAACTTCCCCAGTGGATTGAATCCAATCTCATGATGTCATTTTTACCTCCCACACACTGAACATTTGAGTCTCACTTCTTTCAGACAAATCCGGCAAAGGGTTACTGATGTTTTGTCTATATATGCTCCATTCATGATCCTAGATGCACTATCAGTAAGTATTACGGAAATGTCATGCAAACAATATCTTATGATAAACCTATAGATTGCCTTTGCAAAATACCAGGTGCTTTCTTTCCTGTCTCACCATCTCTTCATTCTGTGTGCGTGGCTAGGCTTCCTTGGGAGGCATTTTAAGAGGAGCAGGTAAACAGAAGATTGGAGCCATTTGTAACATTTTGGGATTTTATGGTGTCGGTTTTCCCATTGGTGTGCCACTGATGTTTGCAGCCAAATTGGGAATCATTGGTAAGATGTACAGCATGTTTTTGAGCCTTCAGCTTTTTGTTGCCACAATGATGCTAACTGGTTATTTTAAAGTTTTTAAACCGGTGTCTTTTAAGTATGAGAAATGCTTTATTCCCTCAGGACTATGGATAGGCCTTGTTACCGGTGTGTTTCTGCAGGTCATATTCCTATCTTCTTATTTGTTAAGAATGAACTGGAATAAAACTACAACAGAGGTAAGGAATTAAGAGTCTTCACATTCAGAGTCTAATAAATCTTCGCATTGTAAAAGGTCTTTATGAATAAACATTCATACATTGTTTTCTTGCAGGCTCAAATCAGAGCAGGAGTGGTTGGGAGCTCTACAGACACAAGTAAGACTCCACAAAACACTGCTTGAGTCTGCCTGTCTACTGTTCTTGAAATGGCTTGAGAAAAATGTTGAAACATGCTTAAAGTGACAGGTGCAGGGGACATCTTCAACAATATACCTATATACATAGTATTTATATAGTTTCGGTCATTTATCAATGCTTCATATATGACTTTAACTATTTAACAATTGTTAAATAGAGTCAGCCCTATATAGATCATTAATGTTCAGCAATTAGCTGTGAAAAGAAGAATCTCATTTATTAAACATGCTGCTGTCATCTCAATAGAAGTTACTGTAACGCAGGGGTGTCCAAACTTTTTTCACGAGGGCCACAAACAGAAAAATATACGAAGGGCTGGGCCACTCACTCGACTATATTGCCTTATAAGTTCAGTTATAAGTTAGCAAAATCAATCAAATGTAGGTAAATGATGCTTGTGAGGATTGGCAGCTCATCCCTTAAAACAGAAGCCTCAGAGTGATTATAATAAGGAGAAATAGGAAGGGTGTATTTCAAGCTTGTTATGTAAATAAGTCACTGGGCTTTTTTCTTATCAACTAAGATATGTTAGAACATGTTTCCAACTTTAATTGACTGAATGTATTTAAAAAGTGGTCTTATGAACACATGAATACTACTGTGTAATTTATTTTTACATTTATATTTCAGAAGTACAATATAAGACAAGCACAAGTTTAATTTGTGGGCCATATTTCATTATACTTTTTTAATTTGCTGAGGGCCGATTCAAAATGGTCCGCAAGTTGCATTTGGCCCCCGCTCCGCAGTTTGGACACCCCTGCTGTAACGTATTAAACTAAGTTAGGAATCAATAAAAACTAGAATCGTGCATCAAATGTTAACGCAAAATAGGAAGAGTTGAACGTAAAACACTTTACAAAAATGTCAGATGAAATATTTTTCTACTCAGACTCACAGGACAGTGCAGGAACAGACACCGTGGAGCTGGAGGACCGCGAGGCGGGGGGGCCCGCAGTGAGTCCGGGGGAGGAGGAGCTGTCTCTCAGAAGTCTGCTTCTGCGCAGAGGCCTGGTTCTGGCTGTCATGCTATTCATCCTGGCTGCTGGAATCATTATTAACCTGCTGATCAATAACTTGGTTACATGATTGTGAGCAAGGTCAATTCTATTCAGCAACTCGAAGTATTCGAGGTAACCCCTAAGGCACTGCTGCACCGTCTGATGCGGATGTTTGTACTGTATCGCACGATGCCAAAGAAGGACATGCAGAAGACAGTCACAGGTGCAGGCGGGCAGAAAGTAATGAATTAATCTCCTTAAGCAATACATAACTCTTGAGTCATTATTTTACTAGATGACCCTTTGCATCTGCTACGGTCATTAGTGAATCCTCTCACAAACACATTCTGTCAAAGAAATTAAGTCAAACTACAGACATTGCCAAAACATTTGTATTTAATAAATAAAGTTTTGTGTTATTCTTGGAATCAACATTTTATTTGGACTTTTGGAAACACAAGTGCAGATGTAACATAAATATGTAATTATCCATTAATAAATTAATTGCGTAATGGAAAATATTATTTCATCCATTGCCAATAATTCATAATATTTTATGACATTGAGTGGGAACAATGATTTAGTGATTAATGATCTTATGGTTATCCTTCTATTGGGACCAGTGCAGTGGAGAACGTTTCATCAGGGGTATATGTCGTATTGATCCAGTCCAAAGTAAAGTTGGCCTCTGAATGCAGCATCTCTGGCAAAGGCACCAGGAAGTGCACGCTTGCTCCCACAGCCAGAAGTGAAACTGCCGCAAACATAACGGGGCCTCGTCTGAGGATCAGCTGTGTAGTGGAGAGACGGCCTCCCTTCAGCTGCTGGACCACATGTCCCCTCTCTGTCTCTGTGTTCCCGTTATGGCAACCGGAGCTCACAGACATGTAGCCGTCCACTGACTTTGGAGAAAGACATTGCCCGTTATTTTACTTGGTTGAGTCATATAGATGGCGAGCAGTGTCAAACTAGCCAAAGATAGCAAATATGTCAATTGATAACAAGAGGAAGCAGGCTTTGAAAATAAATATAGATTAATTGTTGGGTTTGGCCACTTACATTCCCATTACTCGCTCTCTGGTAATCAGTGTTGTCACCCGCAGTGTCTGACAGGGCATCTGTGCTTAATAAAGTCATGGGAGTGTTTTTCTGTGCTCGCTCCACAGCCTGCAAACAAATACAAACAACAACTTTACATTTCTCAAAATCTTACAATAGGTTTTAAATGCAAAATCTGTAAGTAAGTCCAAATCATGAGATGCTGCTGAACGTGCCTCCTCTGTAATTGTCTTCCAGTTGAGCTTGAAGATGACAATGGTGTAGAAGGTGGATAATACAATGACACAAATGAGTAGTCCCAGCCAAAAACCTGCAAAGAAAAATGTGTCTTTTATGGGAAGAGAAGGTTTCAAGTGAATGTTTTTTTAGTAAGTAAAAGGTCACTTCATGTAATTACCAATTATTCCCATTTTTGCAACAAAGGTCAAAGTAACGCCGATTGGAAGTGCTATGCCGTAGTATCCAAGGAAGTTGGCCACAGCAGGAATCTTCTGTTTGCCTGTTCCCAAGAAGATGCCTGTGCACACACACTAGGATGTAAATAAAAATATCTCAAATCATTAAGCAGTCTCTCCATTGGCCGACATATTGTATTTTCGGGATAGCTAAAATAAATTATATTTGCCTGGTTATGCTCGCACAATGCAAATATAATCTGGTAATATACTATGTATGCTTACAGTAACTAACAAAAAATGGTCGACTCACCACAATACCATCAAAGAACTGAAGGAAACAGTAAGCATTTATCAAGTGCGAAACCAGACCTATGATCTTCCTGAAAAAAGGTTTTATAATTAACATCTATTTTTCTTGTTCAATATTTGTATGTAGCAATAGCAGTATAAAAATCGTAGTTTTACAGTTATTGAATAGTGAGTGCAGTTCTCACCAGTGACGTGCGGTGAGGTTCATGGCTGGTGAGGCACTGACTCTTTCAGTCAGATTTACAAATAGTATAGCCTATTTTGACCTTAATCGAAATATTCTGTTATTTTCAAAAGCTTTTTTAGTCTGATGCTATGATTAATTTTAAACAGACCGATCAACAAAAGGATACCCAAAATCTAAATATTGGATTGTTCTTTCTAAGTAAGATCCCATTTTAATTACAGTTGTGGTCTTACCTTGACTTGAAGATGAATATAAGTCCATGCTATCCTTCTGGACAACAATCTCTATTACTGTTTTGTAAAAGTCCTCCGTATCTTCCTGTAGTTTCAAAAGTTTTGTTTGTTGTTTGCGGTAGAATAACAGTAGCAACAAGAACCTGTGGGCTCACGTGCGCCCCCTTCAGTGCGGCAGAGGTTATGGCTGCCTCCCCATGTAATTGTTTCATTGCCGTTGTATGATAAGACCAGCGAGCCTAAATATGATATATACGTGAAATAAGTTATTTAGAGACTATGGATGGCGAGGATAAATGTAATAAAGGGATCTACAAACATCACATTGGTGACCTACAGTGAGATGGGAACAGGCATGCGCTTAGGGCCCGCTTTCCAGCCAGTTTCTGTGGGGTGACACCAAGCCCCCAGGAAGTGCGCCGGACTCTGATGAAAATATTCGTGCTGGCCAAACGGCGGTACTACACTTCCTTTTGGTTGCCAGGCCCGGAAACACTTTTTCCCATTGACTTACATGGGGAAAGAGTGGTCTGTAAATCGTTGGATAATTTTTTTTAAACTAAATAAACTACCCAGTATGAACACTTGTATAGCCCTTATTAAAAACATTCGTTCCTCAAGTTGTAAAATGTGCTAATAACGTTATTCTGAGAGTTATTTCCCTCTGCATTATGAACGCGCATCTAACCCACGGGACCGCGCCGCCCGGCACGTTCATGTTACGTGTTCAGCACTACATGCGTTTATCTTTACCCATGGATGCACAATAAGAACGGACCCATATCGCCTTACTGCCAGCCCACGGAGCTGTAATAATGGATATATTGCACATGTTTGCTGTAATTCATCATTTGTAAAATATTATACTACATGGGCTGTATAATTAAATCTTGTACCGTAAATGTTGTATTAAATAAAGTTAATATTACCGACGTAGATTAACGTCCCTGTAGCTTCTTATTGCACTAAGAAGCTTATTGCACTGTGTGTGTATGTGTGTATATATATATATATACAGTGCAATAATTATTTCATGCTAAATGAAGCTCTGTTGCTTGGATATCACTAGATCCTGTTACAGCGTAATATAAAAGTACATAACGATTGATGTGTAAATTAGCATAATTACTAGCTAACCGCTAGCTGCTAACTGCAGCCTCGTTAATATCAAATCTATCATAACAAACATTACCATGCTGTCATGAACGTGCGGTGCTGTTACGTGTACGCAAATTGACGTGCTTGATGTGAACGAGCATTTTGGGGGGCATGGTTAAAGTTGCGCATGCGCTATGAGCGCACATACGGGTACTTCTCAGGCATGCCGGGTAATCTGTGACGTTTCGCTCTCTCAAAAGTTGGGCCATTTTATCATCATGCGCGAATGAGCAACTCTCATAGGAATGAATGAGGCCCCGCCTCTCACGCTGTATCCAGTTCTTATTATACATCCATGGGTGACACATTCTGAATTGAGGCAGAGCTCATCTGTGCCTCCCCTCAGAATGCGTCACCCCACAGTAAATGGCTTGAGCGCGCTCACAAAATAAGTGGCCCCGCTAAATTAGTGCCCGCGCTCCAGCAAATTACTGTGGGCTTACGTGAGGCAGTGCTCGTGCTTGCCTCACTTCTTATCGCTCCCGTAGCGGAGCTCGGCAAATTTGCTGATTTTGACTATAAAATGCGATTGGAATCATACAGAAATCACATTTACACAAGATCAGTGGAGACATTTTATTATTATTATTATTTAGTTTTTCTTTAATTGTTTTTCCGTTACATTGGAGTATGACAGGTGAGGCTCTGCCTCCCCTGCCTCCACTGACTGCACGTCGCTGGTTCTCACTCATCAGAGGTAAAGATGTAGCCAATCACTGTTTTAGTAGAGCCAAGCACAACACCTTCCACAACTGCGATGCTTGCTGGAAAAGAGCGGCAGTGAAATCTGTCAAATGTAAAATGTTGATGAAATAAAATACAGATTAACGGCCGGTCCATAGGGGCGCTAGGGGCGCCGCCCCACCTCTTCCCATATTGAAAAAAATAAAAATAAATAATAATTAAAATTAAAATTAAAAAAAATATATATGTTTAAAAAAATATATATGTTTTTATTTTTATTTTTAATGAACAAGGTAAATATTATATAATTGGTATCAGTAAAATGTATAATCTACAATAAAATCTCGTTTAAAATTGTGTTACGATGTCTAAAGTTACTGATAAGTCACATGTTTCCTGCCTGGCCTTGCCCATGCACCTTCTCTCGTCTGGGCGCTAAGAGAGGAGCCTTCAACCAGTGCAGCAGCAGCCACCAGCAGCTGACTGTTGCTATCTGTAACGTGTAAACTATGCCGCGAAAATATAATTTCAGCCAATCAGCGTCGTCAAAGATGACGGTCACCGGGCGCCAATGTCAGCGCCCAGTGCAGTCTGTGAGTAGTTTGGACAGTGACTCGTATCCGGTTGACGCAGTAGTTGATGAGGATGGCTTCGTGTGCAGGTGGAGTCTCCGGACCTCGGTCCCCGGCTAATTCTGTTCAAGAGCTAATCTCCAATCCTTTCGAAAGGAGAAGTTTGGCAGATAAATTGTTGCTTAAAGACCTTGCACCGGACCAACCCGATTTGAATATATCGCAGCAATCTCGTGAAAAAGACAACATTTATACACGAGGCTTCACAAGTAGCTGGTACACAAGAAAGGCTTGGCTAGCTGGATGCAAACAGGTAAATGCTGTCTTTTGTTTCCCATGCTTGGATATCACTTTATATGTAGAGAGGAGGTTTCCCATGGTTGTTAGAAGTTTATTAATAAGTGGGCATTTATCACAGAAGTGATTGTTCTGTCTCCACGTTTGTTGCATTGTCTGTGATGTATTTTCCAACGGTTATAGCTCCTGTTCTGTCCCAGCAACACTACACGGTTTGCAGCTCCACCACATTTTTGGTTTATCTTCGGTGTCGCTTAAAATCTGCTTCCCATCGGACTAAAACCTCCACGTAATCTGAAGACAGATACTTGAAGTTATTTAAACCTTTTGCAAACTTTATGTTCTTTCTTGCTCTAGCCTTGTCAGTTACATTGTACATAACACATATATTATCATTATGCTAACTGGTTGTTCGTGTTAGACGATGTAGCTTTTTCATTTCTGAGTTATTGCTATATGTAAATAAGCCTGTTTGTAAATAATCCTCAGAGAAACAAAGAAAAAACACAATTTATGACATTTTGTGCTGTGGTTATTTTTTTTAAATTGCATTTATTCACAGTTCAGTTTGAAATGCTGTAGTGACTTGTATTGAACCACTTAAATATTTATAATTAATGCTACTGAAAAGATGCTATTAATTTTATATCTCACATGCAGTTCACTGTAAAGCTACTTGGTGAAGGTGTTGGTTCATAAAACATGAACAGTTTTAAGAAAGAAAAAAAGAGACCAGTTCTGAGAACACAAATTCCTGGTAAAGTAGTAGATGTTCAGGTTGATAAATAATATTTTCCACACTGAAGATTATGGAGGTATTGATCAGTCTTCTCATATTTTTAAGCCTCGATTTCTCCTTTCCCCCCCCCCTCTAACATCACCAGAAGTCATCATTTAAGGGGTCATTTCTCGAAAAAAATTTCCGGGGGGAAACCCCCCGGGTAGGTCACTTACGGTACGTCAAGAGCCCCACCAAAAAAAAAGACCACCGGCCGCCACTGTGTATAACTGACCTGCAAGAGCGGAACCTGATTCAGCTCCGGTTTCCCTTTTCAGCTCCCGCTCTGTTCACACCACCCAGAGCTGCCGCTGCTGCGTCATGACGTCACCATTTACATAGCTGATTTTCTCCCCAACGGAGCTCACAACAACAACAACAGGGGGGGACTGCATCGGGTCGATGATCGTGTTGCTTTTAATCATACGAAGCCAGATTAAATTAAATAACGACTTCTCCAACCTTATACTTTTCTCCAGAGTGCCGTGGTTCATTGTTTATTAATGTGTTTCAGCTGCATTTACCGACCGCTGCAGTGCTGGCTGCTCTTCCACGGGAGTTTATTCTCCCGTTAGCTCCGGGTTAGCTCACACGGCTCTAAAGTATTCACTGTCTGACTGTCACACAAGCAGCTGATACATATCCCCAGTTCCCCTTAAGTGAATGTGTGTCAGTCTGAATTGACGCTGTTTGGCATCACAACGCTGTTATGAAAGTTGCTCTGGTATAACATGGGTGATGTTAGCATAGCAACCGAAGCTAAACTGACTACTTGCTAAGCCATTTTCTACAGGCACATTTTACCGGCGTATTTTTCATTATGATTCTACTTGTGATAGTCGGACATGACAACCTGTGCAGCCCATGTATTGATTCCATCCGATAGCTGCTATAATAACAAACAAAACGTCTGCCTGCTCTCCACAATGATCAATAACAGCGAACGGATGGTCAAAGTAAGGTACAAATAAACAGAATCACATGAAGCCTGGTTAGTGTTGCCTGACTTTATAAAGTGTGTTTTTTTTTATAAGTGTGTGGTTGCCTTCTAGTCACTTTGCTCAGCGCTACTGCTTGTAGGCAGGCATGACGAGACTCTTCAGTCGACCCATGTTCAGGGGAGGTGGGTTTAGTTTCCTGCACGCCTCGACGTAAGCGACGC